ATGGCCGGCGCCGGCGCTGAGGGCTGCAGGCAGGGGTGGAGGTGTTTTTCTTTCTTTTTCTTGTTTTCCTTCAAGCAGCCTAGGTCCCCCAGTAGTGCCCTTTTTTGGGGGTTCCTAAAATACACTACAGCAAAAAGGGCACCCTTATTCTAACCTCTCTACTGGAGGACCTAGCAGCTTAGCTGGTGCGGGTTTGTATTCATGCATGGAATTGTCTGCAGTGACGAGGCGGTTTGGATCTGGTACCCCTGCTGTCTCCTCACTTGTCTCCGCACTTGCTTGGTGACTTGGACTTGTCACGGCTTGTCTCCCCGATTGTCTTCCTGCTTGGCCCCCTTGTCTCCCTGATGGTGCTTGCTGGCCTCCTTGAACTTGCTTGCTCACACTTTGTAACGCCTTGTTTCCTGTTGTCTGCCCACTTGTCCCCTTGCACTTGCGCGCTCGGACCTGGTCATGGCTTGTTTCCCGACTTGTCTCCTCATCTGTCTCCCGGGTTGCAGTTGCTGACTCGGACCTTGTGCGGCTTGTCTCCTCACTTCTCTCCCTGCTTGCACTTGCTCACTCCAATTAACCTTGTCACGGTTTGTATCCCTATTGTCTTCTTTCTTGTCCCCCTGCTTGTGCTTGCTGGCTCGGATTTTGTCACGGCTCGTCTCCCCACTTGTCTCCCCGCTTGTCTCCCCGGTCTCCTTGTCTCCCTGATAGTGCTTGGTGACTCGGGTACTTACCTGGCGCTTGCGCGTTTGGTGGGTCAAATTGAACCAAACCTGAAGGTCTTTCCATTGGTGCTTCAAAGTGCAAAAAGCAAAGAAAAGCGACAACAATTCCATTGGCTTAGGGATTTCAACCCCAGTTCCTATTATATACCCAAATGGGATTAAACACGGGGGGCAAACCGCAGGCTTTGGTCCATGTTTCCAGTTACCAGGGCAACCCATTTTGGAATTCCGTCTTTTTGGGCCCCAGTTCAACTTTTACCCAGATGGGGAAGGCGCCCACGTCCAAGCCACCCGCCATTTCGCGCCATGCGCGCGCAGCCGAGGCCCGGGCTCAGCTTCCGCTGCGCCCTGCTGGCGGCCTGCGCGCGCAAGAGCCGCTGGCGGGAGGCGAGTTGCGACTCGCGACGCCGTGGGTTTAAAGGGAGGCCGGGGTAGCCCTGGGGGCTTCGAGGAGTTTTCTTTCTTTGTTTTTTTGGTTTAAGGGAAGCTAAAAAGGAAGGCCTTTTTTTTTCCCCTTCTTTTTTTTGGGGGTCCGAATCTTTAAAAGAATGTCAGAGACATAGAAATTTATTTTATCCAAAGTGGCAGGGTTTCCTTTCATTTCCCTAACAACAAAGGCTTTTCTTTCTTGATGAGGGGCACTTTTCGGTACAAGGAATGGCCAAAAATAGGGACCGGATGGCCAAGGCCATGTTGGGCGCTGAGATGGCGTGCTTCAAACATGAGATGGCAGCAAGGGGTTCGAGCTGATAAATGTGAAACCCAAGACATGTGCGTACAGATTTACATTCATGCAAGTGGGTGGGGGCATATTCTGTGTGATTGCATGTATGCATGCATGCTCGGTGTGTTTTCAATGTATGCATGACATGCAATGACGAAACGTAACGTAACGTAACGCAACGGAATGTGATGTCATGTAATGTAATGTAATGTCAAGTAAAGTAAAGTAAAATAAAGTAACGTAATGTGTGTATGCATGTAATGTATCTTTGGGCTCGAGGTGTACTTTTGGGACCCGACAGTTGCCCATGAATTTCTATGTAGAGCGACATGTGCGACTCACTTGAATGGACCCCGTGTCACCAAGGATGATGTACACATATCGCCCAAGATTCAACCAGTTGCCTCTGGGCTCCAGGCACTGGTACATACTGTGGATAGGCAAAAACCTGCACCAGCTGGTAAGTTGGTTTACCACCTCATTTGCAGAGCTTGATCCCCAGGCTGTGCTGAAGGTGTCCCCAATTGGATCACAAACTTGGAACTTGGGAATTGGCCATTCTATTTGAATCTAAACTTTGTAAGGCAGCATATATCCTTTAAGTGGTTCTTGTACCTCTACAACCTCCGAAACTACCTGAACACGCCCTTTAGCTTCACAGAAAGGAACTCTTCCTCACTCTCTCTCTCTCTCTAGGTTACATGTGAAGGGCCTCTCTCAGCCTTCACATTACGCTTCAAAAGCCTTGGCTTTCGGAGTTCGGAGTTTGGGGATCGTCATATGGCTGTGGCTCAAAATTAAACGATCCGGGCAAACCGCAGGCTTTGGTAACCATGTTTCCACTTACCAGGGCAACCCATTTTGGAACATGCCGTGGCCTTCGGCCTTCGGCAAGGCTTTGGATCGCCTCGGGCACCTCCACGAGCCGCTGCTGCCGGGGGTCTCAAGGGGTCTCAAGGGCCAGTCGGTTGGTCTGATCAAAGCGTTTTTTTTAGCCGGAATTTGGGAGTTGGCCGATTCAAATCGGATTTTCTTGAATGTAGCATGACTCTTTGCA